GAATATTAACCCTTTGCACTCGACGATTTTTTGGCTAGAGAAGAGTAGAAAATCAAAGATTCTATATCAAAAAACTGACGATACTTTTTTGAGCAGTAAATAAAGAATTGTATAATAATGGAATTGTAGAATTATTTGATTTCGATACCTTGCACACTGTTACATTACGTTAAATTTGATATATTAATTAATATCGATCTTCTAAATTTTATGAAATGGTGACTGAGGGTCACCTCTCGAGTGCAAAGGGTTAACAATCAAAGCTTAGGAAAGTGCAGAACATTCCATAGATACATTGATCACCCAAGTAACCGTTAAGAACGAAATCATCATCAACCTAGATTTAACAAGACCAGTAGTCACCTTGACCAGTGAAGAGACGAGGATAAGGCGAATAGCATAGCAAGGATCAGCAAGTAGGATTAAGGATTTGAGAATAAGTATTCGTGGATCAAGAGTTTATAGATGGAATGATAGAGAAACATACGCAAGGAGTGCAGTATTTTGAAGAAATAAGAATCGAGAGAAATAAGCTCCACTTCTTACGAAAAGTAATATCAGGTTTGCGAATACAAAAATAAAGCAATTTGTTATAACAGTATCGTTTTATTTAATCTATTATACGAAGTGCAAAAGATATAGGTTCATAACTATTAGAGTAGATAATACACAGGAAATAAAACAGGATAGTCCTAATAAATTCTAATAAATATTGGTAGAAATACTAATATTTATAAAGTTATGAAGAAATTTTTTCTGTTTAATTGAATGCTTCATGAGCTATCGTAACGTATAGAAATAATTACCTTACCGTTTCTTCTTTTCATGGTTACGATAGATTTTCTACAACTTCTCCTTTTTATTATTTTTTTTCTCCTTATTTTTATTATAAAGAATTGCATACCGTTTAAGGATTTATGAGATAGGATCACTTCTGAAGTGAACAAATTACTCTATAATTATTGGTTACGATAGATTTTCTACAACTTCTCCTTTTTATTATTTTTTTCTCCTTATTTTTATTATAAAGAATTGCATACCGCTTAAGGATTTATGAGATAGGATCACTTCTGAAGTGAACAAATTACTCTATAATTACTCTATGGATATTACTTTTTCTACTTATACTTAATACAATTTTTAATTTTAATTGGTGAGTACTATTTATTTCAGAAGTTGTGAAGTTTTTTTCATTATTCTGTATATCGATCATTTCTTTCCATGGCTTTATTCTACCGTCCTGAAAGTTTTTTTAATATGATTTTCAAAGAAAGAAGCCACTTTTTATTCGAAATATTCTTTTCATAATCTTCAATTTTGATTACCATATTGATAATATATTTCTAATATAATCATTTAACGAAGTTTAACACGTTGACTGCCATGGGGGTCACCGGTGACCGGCACTCAACTTGGCGGTGGCGCCACGGGGGCCACCGGTGACCGGCGACGCGACCATTAGTAAAAATACATAATTAGAGTAAATATCGATACTGATAAATTTTTAAATAGTACCATTGTTACTATAATGGTTCGAAGAAATTAATGCCATACAGAACATGCAAAAATAATTTTATTTATACAAAGAACAAGTGAACCAAAACAGTCGGCACAATATGTCGCCATTTTTTTAGTGCAATTCTTTGCTCTCATTCTTCCTAGCTGATTTGAATTATTTTCATAGCACACTTTGCAAAATCGCCTTACATTTTGCACACTTCCAGGTTTCTTTTTAAATTCGTGACGACTTTTTTTCCGTATGTAATTGCTCGATGAAATGCAATCTTTGTCATCGGAACATTTCACTAAATACATCGCTAACTTCATCCTGAGAATTGAAATATTTTTTCCAGTTGCTTTTTAAACAATTGATAATGGCAAAAATGGTCTACAGCGCCGCGGGGGTCACCGGTGACCCCCACCACGAAAAATACATTAAACGCGATTATACAACTCACCTTATCTGCTGTAAATAATATTTCAACATAATATGCATCGCATAATAAAGTATTTATGTTGGCGCCATGGCGCAAACCATGTAAAATGCGCGTCGCAGTCAACGTGTTAAATAATTTATAATCAATTTTCCTTGTGTATATTGTCACCAACAACGCAACGTTATATTGTTTTGATACAAATTGACCTTTGTTATAGTCACCGTAACAGGATCGTTACTAAATTATTGTGTCTTTTACATTATATTCCTGTATAATTAAATGTTCTTATTTTCAGTCGCAATTTGATTTAATAATGGATCTTTTCCTTGTCGGAAAAGCAAAAAAATGTTTGGAATTAAGCTTGTTGAATAGATTTTTTTAAGATAATTCTTCTGATACACATATATCTAACTTTGGAACGATTTAAAATTTGTGCAAATAATCTAAAACTGCAATGTCATCCGGGTTAAGCTTTTCTACTGTTTCAATTTCCGAAAATTGATTCGAAATTATTGTAAAATCGGAAAAAATAGTTTGCGTTTGTAGAAAGACGTAAATCTTTGCCTGAAATCTTCCTGTTTCACAATAAGGTTCGGACGAAACAGACAGCTATGTAAGTTCCACGTTCGCGTCGAAGAAGAAGGTGTAAAGTGTTTTAGGTATAACGAATTCGGACATATAACTGCGAATTGCGCTAGTAAGATAAGCAAAGGCGAAGCTATGAAAAGTTGTCACGTTCGCGTCGAAGAAGAAGGTGTAAAGTGTTTTAGGTATAACGAATTCGGACATATAACTGAAGCTATGAAAAGTTCTAACACGACTCAAGTTACCGGTAAGAAATATATAAAAAATGTAATAATAGAATTATTTGCATTGTTCGATTCGGGTAGCGATATTAGCTTGATTCGCACTGACAAATATGTTGAAATCGAGGCGCCTAGCATAGAGGAACGTAAGATAGAATTTTGAGAGGTGGGGGCAAGAAATATCACACATCTAGGTGAAGTGTTCATACAAAGATCGTTATCGATGAGGTTTCATATAACGTAGCTGAAAACCGTGGTTTTCGACACCCTCACACAATACGATGTTATTCTGGGATCTGATTTCTTGGATTACTGACGTCCACTTAAGAAAAGGAAATGCTCGAGTCATTAAGTCGGAAGTTGATCGCGAGACACTTGATAACCAAGTTGTCGAAATATTTAACATAGATATTACATACCGATGAAGTTGAGCCGATGGATATATCTGATGTTAAAGATTTAGAAACCAGAACGGAATTACAGAACGCGTTAGAAAGCTGTAATCTGGAAAAAACGATAAAAGACAGGTATCCCTTACTGCGTATCGTTGATGAAATAAATCAATTACAAAACGCTAAGATATTTAGTACGATCAATCATAAAAATGGGTTTCTTCATACACCGATTGACGAGAAATGTACAAAGTACACAGCGTTGATGGTTCCAAATGGGCATTACGAATTTCTTCGCGTGTCTTTTGACTTAACTTTGAATCTATTTGTTGCGTCTGTCTCACTTTGTCTCGTTGTTTCGTTCGCTTTCTCTGTCACATGGTGTTCTATGACCGGACTAATAGGAAGGGATCAATCCTGCCAATAAGAGAAGCGCTTTACTCTTTTCTTAGCTTTTCTTAAATTCACGTGTGAGTCATTCAAAATTATTTATTTTAGCATGGTCAGATGTTAATACTACTGTGACAGCTTAGATGCTAATACTACTTTACTCATTTTTTTTTTTTTTTTTTTTTTAATATACCAACGTCGAAACATATCTTTGCCTGGTCTAAACGGATACAAGAATTTTAAATATATTACAATAAAAGAGCAATTTGTATTGCTGATAATATATTAACATTGTCAAAGAATTTTTATTTGCGAACGTACGGTAAATTATGTCAATGAAAAATCTCATTTGTTCAGATTTATCAAATAGAATATTTATCAACATATCATTTAGCTTTAAAAATGTAGTATAACTACAACGCGTACATTTAAAAAACGCAGCATTTTAAGAATTACGCTTTATTATAATATAGAAGTCATTGTAAAAATTACAGAATGCAGCTATAAATGACGGGTAATGTAGACTGCACGCGTTTACCCATTATTATTTATTAACAGAAATCTGTTCGACAGCAAAGTATAAATTTCATGCTTTTTTACTTTCTGCATTCTACAAGTTGCAATCAACGATAAACGACGATTTGAATGAATCAGTGAAAAAAGTTAGGTATTTGTTACGAGCAAAAGAATAACATGCACTTTATTATTTACTTGCTTATGAATAGCTGAGTGTTCGCTGTCAGAATTTCTCGTATATCTGTCTCTCATATTTCCTGATGTCTACGAAGATTAGAATCTTATCTAGAGGAGGAAACTTTCTGCGCGTAAGTTTGAATTATATAAAACGACCCAAATGGACATTTTATAATACATCTTATGATGTATTATACTATACAGTGAGAGTATACATTAAGTAATGCACTAAATATACTTTCGTTTTCGTAAGCTAGTATGTACTTTAAATAAAACCCAATGTAATTTTTTAACACTAGGTTTACGGACATTTCTTATATACCAATCTCTACGGACAGTCATCGACATTTTGTTTAACACGCAACTTAAAAGGCAACACAATTATGCACTATTAACTTATAAATGAAATTGCTAGATACATATTTGTATAAAATTTATAATATGTGTAAGGATTATTTTTATTTAAATGCAAATGGCTTGTGTAATTTTCTTCGTGTAATTTGAAGTACGTTAAAATGACGCACTTCGTAAACCTAGTGTTAAATACCTTTTAGATACAAATAAAAATATTCCATTTACTTCTTTAACTGGTACATAAACGGTTGATATATATTTTTTTAATGTCACAATTTTGATAATTCGCAATATTTAAAACAGAAAAAAAATTCGTAATTTTTGTAAAATACCTGATATACATTTTGTAAGATAATTGATACATATATATATATATATATATCTAAAATTGTTTGAATATTTTCGATGAAGTATTTATTTTGTTTCAGTTACAACCTCATTTTTCTAAGTGTAACGTATTTAGTCCCTATGACGGTAATGGCAATATGTTATTCATTAATGAGCCGAAAACTCTGGGGTTCGAAATCTATAGGAGAGTTAACATATTACCAGAGGAAATCAATGAAATCTAAACGCAAGGTAAGAATTTCAATATAATATGTCACACATAAGTAACCAATTATTGGATAATAATTTGCTAAATTAATGAGAATATTAAAAAAATAAAATAGCAATATTCAAGGTATAAGAATATTTTTACAAATATTCAAGACGTGTATAGACAATTTTACAGACAACTAGTGTATATAAGCATGTAATTTGTGTATATGTACATAAACGAACTTTCATACTAAAAACAAGCGTTTTAATTGAGTTGGTCGCTTACAAAACTGATGAATTTCAAAAGACGAAAAATAGAGTTACTTTAAATGTATAGAGTTAAGTTATATGTACCAATCAAGTATTTTGGAACTACTCGAAAATCTCGTAGTATGTGTTTTGATATAATGTATTGAATTTCAGCGAGTAAGAATGTTAATAATCTAAGATTTCTTTTGCAATGTATAATATTATAATATTATTCATAGTATAGATGTTTTAGAAAAATCTTAACCGATTTTTCCATATTTATAAATAATAAACATGATATATTAATATAATTTATACTATGTATACATGTATATACATATATATTGAAATGGTTTTTTCTTTTCAATTTTAAAGTTTTTGTTGGTCTCACTCACTAAACATTGTTCACTGTGTGTCTCAGTTGTCATAACGTTCAAGCAATTTAAAAATAAGTTGAAACTTGAATATAGTCGAAACTTCGAAAATATATATTTTATCGTGAAAGAATCACATCATTTTGTAATTTAAAAATTGGCGAATTCGTAATTTATAATTCCGATTACTTAGTTTAAAAGTAATTCAATTAATATTCGAAATAAATGTAGTGCACACATTCATTGACGATTCATAACATAAAATCGTAAAATTATTTCACCTTATGTATAAATAACAATTTTAAATGACAGTTTATTAAAAGGAATAGAATTTAGTGAAAGGAATAAAAATTGTATTGCTTTTCTTTCTTGAAGTTAATTCTTTGAATTCCACTGATTTGTTTCTTTTATAATGTAATTTAAATTTTCTATGACATGATTACCTCGATTATTTAATATCTTTGAAATTATTCAATGATGTGCTTTACGGATTAAAAATTTTTATTGTTGATTGCGCCGATGCATAATTTCTTTCGCGTAATTTTATGCGTAAATTATGGATACTATGGAACAAATCTATTTTTCTCGTGTCATAATGATAACACACATCCATTTGCAAATCACTTACTAAACACATTTTTCAAGTTTGTTTCAAACTGAAATTAAAGTTTTGAAACTATAATCTTAATGTTATTAGAGAAGATACAATTTTCTTTTTAGCAACTTCCGTGCCTTTCTAAAATATTAAGTTCTTGTTTACTTCTTCTTTCTACCCCGTAGAAATAAGTTAATATGTTAAACAAATTTCAGATTATCTTGTGTTGCTATTTACATGTATAAACACAAACGATTCTATAACAACGTACATTCTTCGGTTGTTTTAATAAATCGCATATTCGAAATTCAATGATCGAAGCCGCGTGATTGACAGTAATTTGAATTATTAAACCTTTGTCCCAGGAGAAATGCGCTACGAATGCAGTTAAACGAAGGTCATGATATTTGAATAACAGAGACTAGGTAATTACATTTTCTCTTAACAACTAATAGAAAGTTTTGTACTTGATAGAAGTTCATCTTTGTGTAACTTCAAGTCGGAGAATTCAAAGTTTCGTAGTTGATCTATTTACACGATGTTTCATTATATTTTAGACTCTTCGTTGAATTAAACGAAAAGACATTTCGTGAAATCCTTAATCAAATTAATTTTATGTATATACACCAGAAAAGTGAATCACTTAAATCGTCATCGAAAAAGTCTTGAAATATTTGCTGCTATAAATACAATGGAATTTCTTAAAGTGTGTAATATGCAAGAAAGAAAAAGAATGAAATAAATATTAGCATCTTAGGTTGCAAGAAAGTTCACGTAATCAAGAAATTGATTTCATAAGAAAAAAGTAACCTTTGTATATTTAATTAATAGAAAAAGCAATTTTTTAATTTTTTTTTTTAATTTTTATATCATAACAGATTATAATATATACTACAATTTCCTTTCTTTTTAAGGAATCATTTTATTTAGATGAAATGAACGATTCAATTTTCAGTGCTTCCACGTTTTCTAAAATATAACTTTGTAATAATGCAAGATAGGCAAAAGTTCTTCATATAAAAAATATTTATTTTTCAATATTTTATTAACCCATTGTAAAAAAGGTATTGAAGAAATATTATATTCGGAGTACGAAGAAATGCTGAAAATGAGAGGATTGTTCTGTGTAGAATTCACTATGCTCTACGTACAATGTATACAAGCTTTCATTAAAATTAAAATTTTGTTATTAAGAAAATTTTCTTGAAATATAGCGTGTCAATGTTGTTTTTACCTACCGTAGAGTTTGTATTCGTTATGTACATCCCAAATGTAAAATAAACAATTACAACACGAAGTAAAGTTACTTAAGTTCATTAGTCAATTTGAGGCAGTATATTAGTGAATGATCTTTATCCAAGAAATTACGTTCCGTGAGCAAATATGTACGAATGGCAGAAACATTTTGTATGGTTAGGGGATAAGTCAGTCCTGCAGGATTTACTAGATTTTATTAAGGATCAAACTTCTGGAATATGTAATGCACAATAAGCCGACGATTATTCCCCGAATGTAGATAGAACTTCGCAATGGGAGTAGATACCCCTTTTTATCTATCGCAAGTCACCGCGCATGTTTGCAGTAGCCACGTACAATGTCCATTTTGTAACGAACAGAATGCATTGTGTCATTGTGCAAGGTTTGGTGCGCTCGATTACGCAACGAAACAGGCTGAAGTTCGCAAAAAATTCCATGCACGTTCCAATTGCTTCCAAAGCGGTTATGCAAATAAAAATTATACGTATTCTTTGCGTCTAAGGAGTAATAGAAAATATAATGCCAATGTACACGGATGATCCGTCAAAGTTATCAAAATAATGCAAATTTGGATTCAACTTTATTAGGAAATGTCATGTTAAACATGATAATAATATCACGGTACTTAATTTCTAGGTACTTTATATTTCACAATTTCAATTTGTCATTCGAGATATCATAATTTTTTATATCAGTACGGGTTTACTCCATGCTTGTAAATAATACAAGCGCATATTTTAGGACACATAGGAGCAATATGAGTGTCAATAAAAAATCGTTATATTTTTAGATCATATGTCTTGCATTTGGCGATGAATAAAATTATAGAGATCACGTCGAATATTATTTTTGAAAGTACTGAACTTTTAGTTCCTTTAGTCATCAAATCACTCGTTATTTTATAAAATTCCAGAAGTATGTCGATAAATTCGGCCACACGTGGCAAATACGTTGCTTTAATTAATTTAGAATAAAATAGAAGGAATTGAAGGAATTTAGAATAAAATTCGACAAAAATTTGCTCGGTATAAGTCGCAAGAGAAAAATTTGACTTATATTTATTATATCTGCAATAGGTAAAAGAATTATTAGCAGTCTAGATTAGAAAAAATTTACCTAACCACAAATTCTAATTCTAATGAAAGTTTATGTATACGTAGAATATACATTAAGGTTTTAGCATTATTTCCTGCTTTTACAATTCTGTTGTGAAAAATTTCTAAGCCAAATTGTATTCAAAATAAGAAAACATGTTAAAACTTTATTCGTTAATTTCACATTCTCGATGAGATTTCGCGCAAATAAAAAATTGCATCGTATATAACTTATATAGTATAGTAGTGTAAGCGGTTTATGAAAATAAGGACTGTCATTTCTCAACTACTCAACTGATCACGAGTCTCGTATCACTAAAGTTACCAAAATTGCAAGAATCTCCTACAATCAACTCGACTTTCCTCTGTAATCCCTTTATATTCTATTCGCCCCTCTCCTGAGCGAGGGTAGCATCCTCACACTGCGGAAGGAGAGAAGAGCCCAGGTCGATGGCGACCTCACCTTTAACGGTTATAAGGGAGGTTGGCATATCTGTGGAACGCATCCGCGATTTTCCCAAACTTCCACCGTTAAGTGGACACCATAAACCTAGGCCATTTCGAAGCCTGTCCAGTTTAGACCAAGGGGCACGAATTTCATAAGTACTTTTCTACGCTACATGCATACAAATTTTTATCACAGAATTTTCTCAGTAGATGAATTTTCTTTTAACGTAGCGTTCAAATACCTCTTTTACTTACTACCTGGATCTCACTTATAAATTTGTAGTTATACAGACTCACGTGGAAAGCAGAAATCGATTTTAGAAAATGATCATTTTGTTGATCCAGCGTGAATAAGCGTTTCGTAACCACGCAAAGGACATTCTTTTGGGAGTATAGTCTAGAACGAATCAGGTCGATAACGAATATGCCTTGCAAAGAAGGTCCTGCATAGATTAGAGAACTTTTGGGAGCAAGTAAAAGAGGATTACGTTCCTTAAATCAGAAATTTAGAGAGCAAAGTTCCTTAAAAAAGGAGTATTACGTGTATTAATAAAGGATTTATAAAGGAATATGATGGCACAAGTCACATTATAGCGCGCTAATTTTATTCGTGGATGTAAAAAAGTTGGATGTATATTGCCAAATATTGGTTAAGCCCAAATAGAGTAGCTTTCATCCGAATGATTTTAAAGTAAACCCGTTCGAGTACCCATAGAATTCTATGAAGCAGAATGCCATTACGTACGACATTGCAGCCCTATCCTAAAATAAATTGCCGAAAATTCTTCCAGAAAAGTGTCTTTTGCAAGCCGGTTGATAAAAGATTTTTATATATACGACCATCTTCATTTGAATACTTTCATCTGGCCAGTTGTTCGAATGATTAAAGAGTCTTGTAATATTCAATTAACATATTTCGTTCCATGCTTTCTCCTTCCTTCTTGGTTTTTCTTTGTTCACTTTTCTGCGTCGAATAATAGTATATTAAACTTGTTTCATTAAAAATACTCAAAGGGCAACAAGTTATAATTGTGAAAAGCTCGTTCACACTCTGAAGTAGAATGGTAATTTTAAGAAATATGAAAATAAATTAAAGGTTATGTAATATTTATATTTCAATCAGAACAAAGAACACTAATCATGTTTGTACTAAAGAAATATTTATAATGTTGAATTATATGTACTAGCATTTGGACATGTAGTATCGAGTAATAATTCGGTCACAGCTATAATTTCGTTTTTAGCTAAATGAAATTGGTGAAGGTAGAAAGCAGATTATGTAATGTCGTCATCCTTTATTACCAGCGTCATCCCATCGTACTATCTATGCAACACAAATTAGTCAAGCTGATAATAAAGCACGAGTATCTCACTTCGCTTCGTATTGGTTTCTAACGTGATGTTCTTTGTTCATATTAGAAAGTGAACCATATCAGACAAGTGTGTAATAAACGAAATTTTGTGAATGCATGTTAAAATAAAATGTTTTAAGGTAAAATTTATAATATAAAATGAACGATAAGCAATCTACTTTTTGTTCATTTTACTTTCAGCTTAGTATTCATAAATTGTGTAGTACATTTCGCTGATACTTAACTTTTAAGGAAAAAGAACATATCGTACATTTCTATTTGCTTTTCCATAAAAACGAATTGTGTGAAATCAAAAACAGTCACTGATTTGTATACTGAAGTGTATGCTTAAAGTGTTCTAAAATATTTATGTTTTGCCAAGAGAAAAGATCTTTTCTGTTATTGAGTTCGATAAAATACGAAAGTAGGAAATGAGTTCAACAAAGTAAATAACTCATTAACTTTGCAATATTTGCATAAATGGAATAGAGATTTTATGAACGATAAGTATATATATAAAATAGCATTTAATAGTTCCACAATCAGTTTGGCACACTATATTTGGGAACTTACAATTAACTCCGTGAAGTCACTGATGATCGGAACTTTATCTACCAACAATTTTCCACCATATCGATGCAAGTTCAAGATTATCTTAATCACTTATGATCCTCGTGATTTTCATTCTCTAAGGGTCAAAAATAGCCTCATAGTTACTGCGATTACTACTGTATCACAATACTATTCCAATAACTAAATCAGCTTGAAGAATTCACTCCTCATCACATATTTCGACGTCATTAAACCATATGGTGCATGGAATATCTCTTCAATTTGTAGCAAAAGTTTGTTTATCTATACCAGATACTGTAAAACCCAGTTCACCTAGTTCAAACGGTTATCCAAATGTTCTACTATTCGGTTTTCCTGATACTGATTAGTTCGATTATTCTATATCATTTCGTGTAATGATGATCATAAAGAATAACAATATTCCTCATATGAGGTGATGTATAAGTATTGTATAGGTATCTAAAATTATGTTCACGATGAAGTGGAATACACGTATTACCATGTCAGAAGATTTTATTATAAAAATAAATTCCAAGAGTAAGATCTGCGTCCTTTGATCTCATGAGAAAGTCATAATAATCGAAAAACAATAAAAGAATTATTTAATTATAATAATATAACTGATTTATAATTGTTTTATATTAGGGATGGAAGATTCGCTTCTTTTCACAGTGATCTTGATAAAAGATACTGTGTTCTTTATTAGAGTCTGGTACGACGGGAATTATATACTACACATTTAGCAAGCATGTATTTCGTTAATCATGTAGCCCCTTTGTATTGCTGTATTATAAATTTGAAATTGTGTCATCATTTTCATGCATTTTACGATAGATAATGGTTATAAAATCACCAAAAACGACTATTCTAAAAAGATTCCAAAGAAAATAGCTTACAAGTAACACTATCGTTTTTTAAACCTATTTTGATAACATACTTAAAGAGATATCATGTAAAATTTTGGCTTTTACAGCATGTTTTCCTGTTATCCTATCCATTTTGTTTCTTACACCTTATTTTTACTCCAATTGACAATAAAATACCAGGAAGTGAAACTAGAAAAATTACTTTTAATAAACTAGGTACATTTTTTAGTATCTATGTATGTGTATTCTATACATACGTATATAGACATCTCGTAAAAGTTGCTATTTATAAAGTAATATACATTCTTATATTAATTACAGTCATTAATTTCACGTAATCAATACAAGAAATATTTTAGTGTACATATTCTATATCAAGAAAGTTACATTATAAATATGAAAAATTAGAAAGAAAGAAACAAGTAACATATATAACATTTTATATTTATATATTTATATAGTATATGTAACATTTTACATTTTGTTACAGGTTGTGAAGATGTTTATCATAATCGTTGCGATATTCGCTATTTGTTGGCTACCTTATCAAGGTTTTTTCATTTTCGTTTACCACCATAGACACTTTGTGGAGAATAGCTACATTCAACACGTTTATCTAAGCTTTTATTGGCTTGCTATGTCAAATGCCATGGTCAACCCTATTATATACTATTGGATGAATAATCGGTAAGTTTCACATTTTAATAACTAATATATAACATTAGTATATAACTAGTGTATAGGTGACTAGTATATAACTACCTACCTTAAACTAGTAGGAAGACTGAAAAATTCTATTAACTCCAAATCTATTAATTCCACAATATAAAAAGTAAAATTTTACTTAAAGAATAAAATGTTAAATACTAATTAAATGGTTTGATACTAAAAGGTAAACAATAATTTTTGAAATGGAATTAATCATTTTATACTATGATCGACCCATTTTTTATAACGATTGGTTATTGGGCTGATGGTAAGAACATTATTTAGAGTACTGTGAAACAATTAATTGATACAAGCAAGTTTACTAAAAATGAAGATGCATTGCAAGATTCCTCGGTAACTATGCAAAATAAATCTATAGTTACTAAAAATGTTATACAAGTCGTTTACAGAACTAAGTGATGAATTCCATTCTTTTAACTTTTTTTAAGTCTAGTGGCAAAATATTTCACTTGTACTTAATTTCTTACACTTAAAATGAATTTTTAGTTTCTGTGTTAATCGGTTGTGGAGAAAACGTGGAGTTAATCGATTAGCAAATAAGGGACTAATATTTGAAATATATTGCAATAGATGTGTTTATATTATTTCTTTATTTTGTGCTCTATTTTATCACATGCAATTTATTATATTTTTTTGAAAGCCTTTTTTACTTATTACTTAATTTATTATGTTATTTTTTAATTTCCTTTTTGATATTTATGTTATTCTTTGCTATTTTATGAAATAATTATTATATATCATAACAAAAATTGGAAAAATGTGCCATTTTTAGTTATTGATTGAATATACAATAATTCATAATACTCTAAATGGTTATTATTATTATTATTTAATTAAAGGGATGGAAAAGAATTT